TCTCTGTATCTATGAATTTCGTTTTTTATTTTTTAGATTCTACATATAAGAGAGATCATATGGTATTTGTCTTTCTCTGACTTACTTCATTTAGCAGAATGCCTTTGAGGTACATCCATGTCCCAAACGGTAGGATTTCCCTTTTATGTAGCTGCGTAATATTTCAGTGTATATGTATGCCACATTTATTTATCCATTCATCTATCGATGGGCACTTGGGTTATTTCCATATCTTGGCTATTGTAAATAATCCACAGTGAACACAAGGGTGCTAATATCTTTTTGGATTAGTGTTTTCATTTTCTTTGGATAAATACACAGAAGTGGAATTGCTAAATCATACGGTAGCTCTATTTTTAACTTTTTGAGGACCCTCCATACTGTTTTCCACAGTGGCTACACCAGTTTGCATTCCCACCAACGGCGCATCTTTTCATGTGCCTTTTGGCCATCTGTAGGTCTTTGGGAAGATGTCTATTCAGATTTGCCCATTTCTAAATTGGATTATTTATTTTGCTATTAGGTTGTATGAGTTCTTTATATATTGGGAGATTAACCCTGTAGCAGGTATATGATTTGCACACATTTTCTCCCATTCAGTAGGTTGCCCTTTCATTTTATTGATTATGGGTTTTTTTTGTTTTGTTTTTTTGTTTTTGTTGTTTTTGCTGTGTGGAAGCTTTTTTGTTTGATGCAGTCCTGCTTGTTTGATTTTGCTTTTGTTGCCTTTGCTGTTGGTGTCAAATGCAAAAAGTCATCGCCAAGACTAATGTCAAAGAGCTTACCATCTATGCAGTCTTCTAGGAATTTTATGGTTTCAGGTCTTAGGTTCGAGTCTTTAATCCATTTTGAGTTGATTTGTGTGTATGGTAAGTTAGTGGTCCAGTTTCATTCTTCGGCACGTGGCTGTCCAGTTTCCCAGCACCAATTGTTGAAGAGAATGTTCTTTCCCCATTGCATATTTTTGTCTCCTTTGTCATAAATTAATTGACCATATACGAATGGTGTGTTTGTTTCTGGGCTGTCTGTTACACTGATCTGTTCCTATGCCAATACCATATTGCTGTCAGTGTCAAGATTAAGCATCCTTTTTTTTTTTTTTTAAAGATTTTATTTACTTGACAGAGACACAGCGAGAGAGGGAACACAAGCAGGGGGAGTGGGAGAGGGAGAAGCAGGCTTCCCACCGAGCAGGGAGCCCGATGTGGGGCTTGATCCCAGGACCCTGGGATCATGACCTGAGCTGAAGACAGACGCTTAACGACTGAGCCACCCAGGTGCCCCAAGATTAAGCATCTTTTGATTGAGAGATATTCTTTGGAAGTATTAGAAAATCTGGCAACATTAAGTTCCATATTTTGGAATCATGGCAATAATAACTGCTTTCTTCACTAATCTGTTACCTGCTTGGCTGCAAAAGCCATTTGAGTTTGCCTAGTTTGCTAGAATAAGAGATCAGATCCACCTATTGCTTATTTGTTTGTATTTTTGTTAAAAACATTTTTTGAGTATAGTTGACACACAATGTTACATTAGTTTCAGGTGCACAACATCAGCTACTATCTGTCACCATCGTATCATGGACTCTATTCCCTATGCTGCGTTATTTATTTATTTTAAATGGAAATTCTGGTGCTGCTAGTGGCTCACCTCAGAGAAGAGTCTGGACAGCTCTGTCTCCAGTACCCTTCATAGGCTTTCAGCTTTTCCAGGAAGTAGTTAACTATATTTAACATGCTGTTGTCTATTGAGATATGTCAGTTTATATGCAGATTGTCTTGTATGAAAGAAGCAAGCAGTCCTGGTACTTACTAGGGGGTAAATTTGAAACTGTTAACCAGTATTTATCAAAACAGCACTAGAAATGATTTCCCATCAGGATTACGTGAAGTACACACAGTCACCCTTACAGATATTAAGGACAGGCAAGCCAGGTGCACCACAGAGACCATCCCAGAAGACTGCACCAGAGTGAGCTTCACAGAAACTGCCATCGTTGACTATGGTGTGGCCATCATACTGAGGAACATTTTACAAAATCTGTCCCATGAAACTCACCACTGCATATCTGAAGGGACACCCAAGTGAGCACCATTTTGTTGTGTCATATAATTTTGTCTTTATGGTAAAAGTCATGTTTGAGGATGAGCAGTGGTTGTCCATGAGGTGGGAATACGCACCCGTGTGAATGGCATGCTCCCCTGCAGCAGGGTCTGGACCCCTTGGTGCTAAAGGGCAGCCTGGAAGCATATGGCCTCGGCATGAGCACTCAGCGGATCTGAAGGGGCAGTGGCAGGAAGATGTCAGCTCCCTGACTCCTCACAATTCTCTTGAAATGAGACCTGTAGGATGCTCCTCCATGGCCACCCCAATTACCAATTCAAAGAACAGAAGAGAGGAGACACTTCTCAAAAAAAAAGAATAGCCATTCTTTTCTGAACACCTGCCTTATCTTTAACTCGTGGACAGGACACAGGATGCTCTGTGTAGCAGACATGAGTGTCCATTTTGGGTCCACTACCGGGAAGCTCAGAACCGAACATACACTGCTCCCAAAGCAAGCGCACGTGGGTGTTTGTGCTGTGTAGCTCAGCCTCCCTCCTTCCCCTCTTTGTTTCCACTCTTGTTGCTTTCTCTTCGTTGGTTCTACCTGAGTTGGTGCTTTCTTGTATTCATCAGAACTCTTTGGTTGCAGGTGCCAGAAACCAAATTCACAAAGCTCAGGGAACATACCTGGATGTTACTCACAGTTTGGAGCCGAGCCCAGCTGAGCCCACTGCAGACCAGCCAGCCCCCATCCAACAAACAGGAAATAAGTGCTTGTTGTTGCAAACATTATTACAGCAATAGGACTGAATAATCCTCTTCCCTGATCCCAAGAATTTACTAATCAGAATGGTAATAAACCAGTTACCCAACCACTGGGAAAGTAAACATGATTACGATGATGGATTTAAATAGAATCACAGAATTTTCCTTTCCCACGTCCTCCACTGATGCCCCACTTTTTGGGGCCCCAACTTTTTCTTGGTCAGTGACCCAGTTTTTATACAAGAGACCTGAGGCTGTGCTATAATCGTGTGGAAGTCTGCATGGTTTTTGTGACTTGACTGAGAATGTGTTGTCATTGTCAAACTGTCCAGAGAAGTGGCTACTCCACTGAAGTCCTTGTTTATTGTTCTGCGGTTGAGACTTGGGTCTCTACAAGCCTTTGATGGGAATGCCATTCCAGAAGGCTTTTCAATAAGAAAATGACCTGATTTGACATTGATTGTCACAGCTGCCTGAGACTCATCCCCGAGCGCTCATGAGACTTTCACTGCCCCCATCCCCAGTGGGGACCGATTCCAGATGCCATCCCCACTGATTTACCTGAGTGTCTGTTGCCTACAACTCACTAATTCCTATGTCAAGCAAAGTACTTGGTGGCACAGAGCAGAAATGGATTCTGCCCACTTAAGCAGGAAGAAAGTTTACTGGAAGGATACGTAGCAGCACAGATTATCAGTGGGAAAGCTTGAGAAATGGGTTCAGAAGGAAGGCAGGAATGCAGGGAGTCTGGGCAGCAAGACCCAGGTCATCGTTCCCAGGAACAAGTGTTGGGATGTGGCTGCACACGGGGGTCAGTGGACTCTGTCACATCACATGAGTGACCCATGCAAACTTGGACTCTCCCTCCAGGTTCCAAGATTGGGGCAGTAGAATCAGACTGCCCGGGCGTTGGTCACACGGCTCTGCTCTCCTGTCAGGGCACGGAGAGAGAAACGTCTGCCTCATTGGCCTTCTGCATGGACGCCTGAGGTCTGTGAGCAGCTTCCCTCTGCTGCCTCAGGAGAGAAGTGCTTACTTCTTGTTCAGAGCACTCTGAGTTACAGCTGCCCCCCACCTCTGCACCCCCCCATCCATAGTCCTGAGCAGATGACCCTCCTGACAGGTCATCAGAAGACCAGTAGTATAACTTGATGCTGCACCGCAGGGCCGACATCATTCACCTCCCTTCACCTTGTCTTGTAGGCATTTTATCTTACAACTTCATCATCACCAGAAGGTGAGTACAGCACAAGAAGATATTTGGAGAGAGAGACCATGTTCACCTGACTTTTATTAGAGTATGTTGTTCTATTTATCATTATTGTTAATTCCTTACTGCAGCCTAATTTATAAATTAATCTTTATCATAGGTATGTATGTATAGGAGAAAATGTAGTAGAAAAATAGGGTTTGGTCCCCATATGCAGTTTTCTGCATCCACTGGGGGTCTTGGAACACATCTCCTATGGACGAAGGGGGACGATTGTAACAAATTTTGGGCAAATTTTTCTTGTCCAAATTTTGCAATGGGATATTCCATCATTTAAGAAATGAGCACAGCCCAATATATGTGTATGTATTCATAAATGATATGTGTGTATACAGCTGTTTATAAATAAAACATATCAGACCAGCATTTGAAAAGGATGAGATTAAAAAAAAATAGGAATACATATTTTACTTCTTTCCATAAGATACCAGGATTGCCCTACACCCTTGACATGCATGTACCTGGGCTTGGTGACCTGCGTCTTTTTCCTCCCGGGTTCTCACTCACTGGCTCTGCCCCATCGTTAGCTGTGGCTGAAGGGACGTGCACCCGTTTGCCCAAGCATGGGCCATAAAACATCTCTGCTCTTCCGCAGCAATGAGAACACCCACAGACTCAGGGCAGAGGAGCCACTTAGAGCAACCCCTCAGCCCCTCAGCCCTCAGCCCATTGCCTATGGGCTGTGGGGCCCAGAAACGACGGTTTTCCCTGTGAGCCACTGAAAGGTGGGGCCTTACCTGCTACAGCAGCTAGGCACCTGACCTACACAGCTGTCCTTTGTTACTGTAAACAACCGAGCTCCCAGAAAGAGTAAACCGGAGTCAGATGCTTCCCATCAAAGTGGTTTCATGCATTTCTTCTTCACGTACAAGCTAAAATAGTATGGCTCTAAGTCATTAAAATGTGATTTGCCATCTTCTGATGTTGAATACCACTGAATATTTTATTTTTATACTTTGGGTTTACATATTTGAAGTGCTGAAGTATAATAGTAATTTATCCCATAGAAATAAAGCAATTAGTACAAAACAAATGTTAGGAATGGCAGAGGGCCCAAGACAACTTGAAGACTGTTTTTAGGTTACCAGCTTGTTGGTCAGACACCAGGTACATCTAGGTAAGCGTGTACCCGGGGGAGCATGGCAACAGTGTGCTGTGACCGTCCTGGCAGGTCCCCCAGCTGCCAGTTAGGACCGCGTGGAAAGAGGCCAGTTAATCCGACGACCGCGAAAGAGCGTGATCCTGCTGTTTGGAGCAATCCCAACTGATGAGCTGGAAGCATAGCAAGTCACTAAATTACAGAACCTCTGAAACTCAAGTTTTTATCCATTCCTCACTTATTTCAACTGATTAAACTCATCAATTTAAAAATTTTTATAAACTAAAAACTAAAACTGGATGGGTTGTCAGCTTTTAAAATATATTTAGGGTTCCTATGTACAACTAAGAGTATATTTCATTGGAGAGCAGATTACACTGTAGCACTTAACCCCAAACTCATACAGCTGGTACAAAATTGAGGTAAATCCGCCCCCCACCACCGCCCGGGAATGATAGAATTTTTCCTGACTGTGAATTCAACATTTGAGAATTTTCTTTTGATAGCCAGAGCGGCAGAGGGGACAAGCATGGAAAGGAGAGCTGTCCCCCAGTGAGAACTCCTCCAGAGCAAGAAGACACGTGTGGTGGAACACGTGTGAGCAGGGCAGGAGGGCTCTCTCCCGGGAAGCCTGGCTGCAGCGCGTCTCCCATGGGTCCTGGTGACCGTCACTGCTGGCTGGCAGCGGGGTGAGGCAGATGGGGCACTCAGAGGTCTCCGGGTGCAGAGCCTGTGGCGCAGGAGAGGACGGGAGCTGTCGTGTGTAGGTAGCAGCTCTGTCATGATGGAAAGCTTCCTAAACTCAAGTGAGAACTGTATATACCAAGAGACATGGACCTTCTAGAAATGAAGTTTCCTCCTGTGTTACAATAACACTAATTGTACATATACTGTTAGTCCTGTGGAAAATGGAAAGGGAGAGTAACCTGCCTGTGACAAGCAGTTTTAAAACAAAAATGCTTTATAAAATGCCGAACACTAATGATACAGATTTCCTTTTAGTTGAGCAATAGAGAGTGGTCTTTTTCAAAATCCTTGACCTTACATAGCTGCTAAACTTCTTTATAAATTTTCGTATTTTAATGATTTCTTAAGTTTTTCCTCTGTTGAATTCTGAGTCTCCCCTTTTCCCGAGGTACTACAGATGCCAGAGGAGGGCAGGCTAGGGCTTGAAAGAAGACCAGGCAGCTAACGCGTGGGGTGGTCTTTTCCCTTTGGTGTTTTCATTATTCACAAAAAGGCGTCATCAAAGCAGTGTCCATTGGAAGGGCCTTGGCCTCCCCCCAGCCTGGATGACAAAGGTTCAGGGTACACGCACAGCCAGGGCAGAAGGGTCTGCACCACAGGGTCCCCGAGTCTCCACTCTAATGTCCCCCAGACTCCTGGGGGCTGCTGCTTCCAGTGAGTGACCCACACCTACCTGGATCTGGATCTTCTCCCAGTCGTCTTCTGTGAGCTCACGGCCACACCTGTCCTCCAGCTGCTGAAGAACACTTCGGTTTGTGGCCAGGCAGTGGTCGATTTCCCAGAAGAGGTCCTCTATGTCTGTGTTGTAGGAGCACAGTATGCGGTGATTGATCTCTGTGAACTGGACAGGACACAGGAGGCAGTGCATTAACATGCCCCCGGGGGGGGGAGGGTTCTACCTGTAGGTGCAAGGGAAGCACCTTCTTGAGTCCTGACCACCTTTTTTACTAACTTTCCTCAGGTCTCTACCTTTGAAGAAGACTTTTTGGGGAAACAGACATATGCATATTTACGTAATAGCCATGTCCAGATAGTTGATGCAAAGAGATTCAAAAGGTCCACCTGGTTTAAGTCTTGGTGGTTGTTAACAAGGAATACATTGTCATTAAAAATTGAGAGCTAATAAAAGGGAAAGGGAAGTGGAGAGGAGAAAGGGATTATCACCCCGCTGTGGCAGCATGGATTCTGATCTGTAGGCAGGGCGCTCACTGCGCGCAGCCACAGTGCCCCTGAGCTCTTGCCCGGCCAGGGAACCAGCACTCTTCCTGCCCCTTGCTTGCCAGCTGGCTTCCCAGTGTGGTTGCAGACTATGAACGACCATCTTAGCGTGACCATAAAAAAAAAAAAAGGGAAATCTAAGATTATCCCCTCTTTTAAACTAGTTATTCATTCTGCTTTTCTCAGCAAAGCCCTAAAATCATAACTTGAAAACTCCCATTGCCTAAGGACCTTAAAAATCCCTTTATGGGAGGTAATCAATTTATGGACACTTGTATGGCCCCTTGCTATAGAACAGATCTTTAGGACTTATTTTAAAATTGTTTCCCTTGCCAGTCTACCATAATGGAGGCATTATGGTAGGCAAACTTTAAAAAGTTTGCTTCAAAAGTACTATCCTTAAATAGAGTTCTCTAATGCCCTCCCCCCGCCCCCGCTCAGTTCTTTTTATAAAGTACTACTTTTTTTTTATAAAGTACTTCATTTTTTTTATATAAAAGGATTTAGAGAAACACAGTGATCTCAGGCAAACGATTCAGCTGGTTGTGGGATGGTGTGCTTTCCCTCCTGATGACACAAGCTGGAATTGCCAGAGTGAGGCAGAGTTACTACAGACTCTCGGCTACAGTGCAGGGGTTTGCAGTGAGAATTCGCTCATATCTGATTAGCAAAGTGGAACATGCCTACATCAGGTAGAAGTCACAGTTGCTAACTGCAAAGTAGCTTCATATGGCACCCTTCACTCTCTTTTCGTCCCCCAGACTCTGTTTGGTCTGTGCTCTGATTTGGAAATACTTACTGTGTGATTCTCCCTGGTTTCTCCAAAGATGCTATCGCTTCTTTTCAAAAAGGAAAAAGTCCTACAATTATTGGCTTATTAGAAATTTAACACATCTAAATCTTTAGTAGGGGTTTTATTAAGACAGTTATTGTTTTGTTAGTGTCTTGGTTACAGTTCTACAGGTTTTAGATGGTTTGCCCATCTTGCCATAAGTCCTGCACGAACAGGAACAAACACGTTAGAAGCAATGCCTAGATAGAAAAGTGATTTTGTGATTACAAAGGGCTTCAAGAGTCCAGAAGTCAGTCTCCTTAGATGGGCTTGGAAGGAAGAATAGTTTCATGGTTTTCAATTAGGTTGTAAAGATCTGGATTATCAGAGAAAAGGCAATCATAGTTGAGGGATTCTTTTGAGAAGACTGGAAACAGCTAGGGCATTGGGTGGGGGCAGAGCGAATGGCTTTTATTAAAGAGTTTTTGGGAAGAACCCTCAGCACTGTTGGTGGGAATGTAGATTGGGACAGCAGTTGTGGAAAACAGTATAGAGATTTCTCAAAAAATTGGAACTACTATATGATCTAATAGTTGAGTACTGGGTATTTGCCCAGAAAACACTATTTTGAAAAGATACATGTATTGTTTATGTTTACTATGGCATTGTTTATAGTAGCCAAGATATGGAAGCAGCCCAAGTGTCCATCCATAGATAAATGGATAAGGAAGATGTGGTATACACACGCGCGCGCGCTCACACACACACACACACACACAGGAATATTACACAGCCATAAAAAGGATGAGATTGTGCCATTTGAGACAACACGGGTGGACCCAGAGGCTATTACGCTAAGTGAGATAAGTCAGACAGAGATAGACAGATTTCACGTGACTTTACTTATATGAGGAATCTAAAACCAATCAGACACACAAGCACAGAGCAGAAACAGACCCGTAAATACAGAGAACAAACTGACGGCCGCCCGAGGGAAGGAGGGTGTGGGGAGATGGGCAAAGTGGGTGAAGGGCTGTGGGAGAGACAGGCTTCCAGTTACGGACAGACGAGTCCCGGGGATGAAATGCGCAGCAGAGGGAATCTGGGCCCTGGTGGGGTAACAGTGTCGTGTGCTGACGGATGGGGGCGCACTTGTGGTGAGCACAGCGTGCTGTATAGACCTGTGAGTCACTCGGTTGCACACCTGAAACTAATGGAACATTCTGTGTCAACTATATTCAAATTAAAAAAAGTTTTGGGATGGACTGTATTACTTTTCTCTATCTTCTCAAAATAGTGTGATACACTTAGAAAAACTCCTTTAAATATCATTGTTTTTAGAACTTTCTAAATGTAAGAGCTAGTTACTCTAGATCATCCCTGTCCAAAAGAAATGTAATATGAGCCACATCTGTAATCCTAAAACCTGTAGAAGCCACATTAAAAAAAATTTTAAAGGTGAAATTAATTTTAATATTTTACTTTACCCAACATATCCAAAATATTATCATTTCAAAATATGTCAACTGAATAAACTATGAATGAGATATTTTGTTCTTTTTTTCCTGTCAAGTCTTTGAGATCCTGTGTGTCTCTAGCCTGTTTCGATTTGGACTGGCCTCACTTCAAGGACTCGACAGGCACCTGCGGCTCGTGGCTGGTGGCTCATGCGAACATTACTGCATAGATGCGGATCGTCGGAGAATGCCCATAGCGCCCGAGGCACGGAGACCTCGCTCAGCCGGGGCCGCACCAGGGGCTCCTTTGCTGAACATCTGAAGACTGATGTAAAGCTACGGAACCATCTGTTCCGAGGGCTGTCGTGGCTGTCACCTTCTTACTCTCGCTGGCCCTTCCCAGCACAGAGCTCTCTACAGAAGTCGGTCCTTCCCACAGAGCTCTCTACA